ATTTAAGTATAACTACAAAGATATAGAGGATATTTGTTTGTTTGTGTGTAAGATGAAATTTTATTTCATCGAGTGGGCTTTAAAAACAGTATTCTCACGAGTGGCGTAGCCACGAGTGAGAATACTGTTTTTAAAGTTCACGAGATGAAATAAAATTACATCTTACACAACAAACAAACAAATTTTCTTTTCATTTTATGCTAAAAAACAAGTTTAAACGAAATTTCCATAATATTAACATAAATATTAAAATCTGTTTCCCCATTGAGAGCCCCATTTCGTGCGAATTTCTCATTAAAAACAAGAAGTCTTGAGCTGAAAAATAAGTCCGACAATCAACATTAAATGACAGTGATATTAATTATTTTGTTTAAAAAATATGAATGATCGCTTGTTTTAATAATAAAAACAAACAATTCGTGTAGGAGAAAATTCCAACCATCCATCCATATTTCTGTTACTTACTGCGACTTTATATTAGACCTGGCTTTGTTAAATGTAAGCGGCAGCCATTTTTTAAAGTTGTGTATTTCACGGGAGGAAAATAATTGTGTTTGATTCAGAGGGATATCATTTGGAATTGTTAGTCATACACCTTTTTAAAAGAAAGAAAACATATTTGAGGATTGAAACAGACAAAAAATAAGTGTTGACAGATGTGAAAACATGAAAAAAGCAGCTATGAAAATGGAAGACTTGGAACTTGCTCGGAACGCTGGGTGGTTTAATTGTTCTACGAGCTGTAGCTGTCATTGCTTTTCAATTTTTCATAAAGCATACGGCAGTTATTACTCGTAGGATACTTTAATATGCCCAAATGTCATCAACAGCAGTTTGCATGTGGAAGGAATGTATTTTTCAGACTGTAAAAATGAAACAAAAAATTTAGAGACGAAATTTGGTGATTGGAATTTGAATGAATAGAAGTAAGTTTTCTTCTTTTTATTACTTTTGACGTTTAAGGTATTTATCAATTTCAGCTTTGCTTTTTCTTTAAACAGCCTGACATTGTCAGAATTGTCAACAAAAATAAAATTGAGGTACCACATGGGGAAAATCTTAAAAAAGTAGTTTCGTCATTGAAAAAAGTGAAATTATATTTTGATAATTTTCACTGTGAAATTACCAAATATAATTTTCACGGATAAATCAGTAATCCACTGAAAAGCATTAAATAAAAAGAGATAAAAGTAAAAGGGAATTGGAGAGTCTTTAGCTTTGTTATAAATATCTATCAAATTATATCTCTTTGTTGCCTTTTTTCGGTAATCAAAATTCATGCACAGGAGTTATGTACAGGAGTTATAGATGAAACTAAACTAAACTATGTTATTATATTTAGAATTTAGAATTAAATGTTGCATCTGCCAGAATTATATGGTATAGAGAAGATACATGCATTCAACTTTTGAAATAAGAAATTCTTGTTTAATTTATTCTGATCTTTAAAAAAAGATGACTAATATAAAATGACACCCTTCGTGTATTCTTTTCGGACCATTACACTATTTCTTCTGAAGTTCAAAAACTTGAATTGAAAATGAAATAAAAAGTATATTGGAAATTTCAGAGAGTCAAAAAGAAGAAATATATCCCAATTTAACGCAAATATACACACGAAGCAACAATGTTAGTTGTAAACATAAAAATCATTCGAAATTGTAACTTGATCTTTTGATAAATTGATATATGGTTTGTACTTAATTTTGTTTTATGGTAGATTTTATTTGCTTATTTCTATGAAAGGATACTATAAATACCATAAGAATAATATTGGGAAAACCTGAAATTACAAATGTCTTAAAAACAATAAATTCAGTAATGAAAGCATTGTCATTAAATCCCGATCAATATAAATACTACATGTATATCGATTGTTGAGCTCAATTGTTTAAACAAATTTGGTTTATCGGTTTATCAAAGTGTATATTGTATAGCACGGAGACAAAGTAAAATAATCTGGTGTTAATGATTTGCCATAATTTCATGTTCTAGTTAACGTTTTTATAAATGATAAGAAACTATAACGATAACGTGATCATATTCATGCTCCTTTAGTGGCTACAGTCGCTGGATTGAAGGAAAAACACTATTTTTCTATCAATAATTACAATATATCTTTAATTTCAAATTATCATATAATATAAATTCTTTTTTTTTTTGACGTTATACAATCTTTAAAACGTAAAGTATTGGAATCGATGATCCCAATGGAATGGACCAGACATATATAGAGGATATTGAATGAGTGTAAGTTCAATACTGAATTTATTGCACGAGTTGAATATGATTATATTATGCGAGCCTCTGGCGATCATAATAATATTTTATTCAACGAGTGCAATAAATTCAGTAATGAACTTACACGAATTTAATATTCTATTTATCACATACCCCAAATAATGACCGGTTTAAGTGAAATAAGAGTCAATTTTCATAGACGCGCCTATAGTTTAACCCTAACATTTAGCGCGTCTTTACACTATATTTTTATATGCACGGCCGTGCAAATACCATTTTTTACGGAGTCGCAAAATCGGCACGGGTGTGTGATAAATTACATTATTAATACAACATTTGCCCAAATCTGATAAGAAACAGGTCGAGGTTATCATAGATTAAGTGAACTAATGAAAGTATAAACATTTAAACCCCGAAAACAACTTTTTGATAAAGGCTATGTTTACATTAAAAGAAAATGAAAAGTAAATATTGCGTAATTTAACATACATGTATGTTCATACCTACTACAGTGGGATTGCTTATTCAACACATTTCATTTTCGTGTATAGATAATAAATAACTAATAACATGTAAATGTTCTGTTTTTAATCTACAAATACATATCGATTGATATTATTGATTTTTATCTAGTGATCGAAATTATAAAAGTTTATAAATGTTTTCTGTGTTACTTTTCTACAATGTATACAGATATTTGTTTTTCATAAATATGATAATATTTTGTTCCGATATTTCTTTTAGTGTGTTTTGTGATAATACTTTAAATATGTTCTGCTCTATTATTTTTTTATTTTTCAAAAATACAGCAGTATTACACAATTTTTTAAAAGTAAAGGGGGGGGGGGGAGGAATTCACCATAATCAGGAATCCATAACAAAAACAACCACACAATAATTCTCAGTATATCAATTTTAAAATGTTTCTTAATGTACACACATTTTATTATGGGTATGTTCATGATGTTACTGACTTTCTCAATTTGTTTTTATTGTCGTATATCTGCGATATAGAAGACTTATTCCATCTAATTCTCGAACATGATGTTCTCGTAAAGGACACACACATTCCTTTACTTGGGGACCATAAGCATCTTTTCATTAATTACCACGATATTGTCACATTGAGAGTTTCATGATCACCCACATGTGAACACATCTGCGGGTTTATCTAAATTCAAGTTTCATCATGTCATATATAAATATAGAATACTGCTCAAGCTGGCCGTAAGGTGACGATGACTGGGATTTAACTCAATACAGGATTAGAGCAGTACCTCTAGACGCTCGCAGAAATCATGATCACAAAATAGACAAATATCGTGTTTTTCGCCGATTTTTACATTTTTCATTCACTATCATACATAAATTAGACCTATTAAAGTTCATTCCGTTGGGTATAAAGGCAAGATTTTAGCATTTTATGATTCAAGCGCCTTGCCCGGTATATACCGGAATACGGTATTTAGTGTGGTGCTCCAATCCTTTTTTTAGTCTCACCCTGTTGACAGTAGCTTGTAGGTGTTTATGCTACAGTTCATGAACAGGCTCAGTCAAACTGAGCCTGCAATATTTTCAATTTTCCACTTTTATATTAAAAAAAGACCACAATAGGACGTGACAGTGCTTTACAACTCAAATTCGTTTTTTTTCGATACCAGAGATGCTTTACATATTAACAATATTAATACCTATTATATCTGCAGATTTTACAGATTTTAGATACGTAATGCATTTCTTTAAACTGAAACTGAAACAAGCAATGACAAAGTTACTTATAAATCTTTCAATTCATAGAATAAGAATTAAAATCAACTAGAATATTAGCTAGATTAAATCTAATATATGATTTCTTTTTAAATCAGGATAAATGCATCATCCCATACAAACCTCCTGTTAATGAGAGGATATTGAATGAGTGTGGGTTCATTACTAAATTTATTGAACGAGTTGAATAAAATAATATTATGCGAACCTCGGTGAAAAATAATCGCTCTTTCATTGACGCGCAAAGAATTGTTTTATTCAACGAGTTCAAGAAATTAAGTAATTAATCTACACGAATGAAATATTCTTTTTATCACATATCTAAAATGAGAACGGCAAACTTTTAAAAAGAGTCATTTTTCATTGACGTGCCTCTAATTGTGTAACGTTAACATTAGGGCGTTTTTTATGTATATAGCGCAAATGAGGTCACGACCAGTGTAATATCGCGGTTTATGTGATAAAGCATCTTATCAGATACCCGTGCCGCTTTTCCGTTTCCGTTAAAACTGTATTGTACGACCGTGAATATATTTAAACGTGACGTCATTTGCTTTATACCAGAGGCCCACTTTATATTATTTTATACAACTCGTTAAATAAATTCAGTTTTGAACCTACACTCATTTAATATTCTCTATTTCTACGATACATTTAAGTTTGCGTTTTACGAGATATTAAATGTAAGCATTCCACTATATATATAGCAGAATGCTTACCTTTAATATCTCGTATATATCTATGTCATAAAAAGTATCTTTTTACTCTAACTTTGTAATCAAGATTTTCGTTACGCAAAGATTAAGTCAGTTATTGGAAATATTTACAAATATCGAGACTGACATATTCATACCCCTCTACCTTAGCAATGACAATGTTTTTTTATACATTATATGTAATAGAATAGTACTGTATTCTATTTATAGAACGTGAAATGTTTTGGTTTTTCCCTCATGGATATTTAAATAGCCATTTCTTCATAAGTTGATACATTCGATATTTTGTACTGAACAAGGACATACAATTTAATTATGGAATCTGTTAAGTATGTTGAGAGTCATACACGGAGATTGTACGGATATATAGAGAAAATGTCGCTAGATATTGGTGATAAATGTGACAATTATATGGATGACACATCAGCAAGGAGAAAATACTGGTGTGAAGTGCTCCTACGGTTACCCCTGTTGTTCATTATACATCAGTGGTTACTACTCAGTCCATATTCTAACTACTGGATTATTGATATAGTTCTTTTCATCGTAAGATACGGAGGTTTGTTCCTTATTTGTGCTATTTTAGACACAGACAGCTGGGGGTTAGACCCTGCCCCCAACGTGATACGTCACTGTAATCACTTGTATTCGATATTCATATAGTTTCAATAAATAAATAAATAAAGTTAATTCTTAGCATTGTGGTCATTTTTACGTGTAATGTAGATTTACTGTGTGAGAATTAAATTGGAAATTCCACTTTCAGTTCAACAAATAATTAACAACTGTTTGTGTTTGCCTGACTGTGCGCATTAAAAGTTTGTGATACTCTAAGAATACATGTACTCGGACGGAGATAATATTTTACATATAAACTGTTGAAAACTTTAATCATTTATATAGTATACATATGGTTTTCTGACATTCAATGTAAAATTAGATATGATCGAATGTCTATACAATGTATTTATAGATGGTGTGTTTATGTATATATAATAGTGTAAATTTGAATACGAAGTACATCTCATTTCATCTGAAGTAGAGTACACAATTTTTGTATACAACATTTTCAGATGGCCATTTGCACATAGGTGTCTACGAGACATGTAAAACAATTCGTCGTAATGAAGCTTATACCTACAATAAATACAACCTAATAAACGTGGGAATTAGATTTTATATATTAACCGTTAAAGCAGCACGCCTCTAGAAGAAGACAGGGATACTGTCGTCTTATTAATATTTTAAAATTTATCTTCAAAAACATTACATAGTTGAAATAAATCAAAATGACACTTTAAAATTTTATATTAAAACGTCTTTGCCTTGAAAACAGACAGTTCGCTTCTCCGCCTTCTTTTATTTCACTACGGAATTCTTTCATCCTTTTTTTCTAGTACAACGTGATGGCACAGGACACGTGGTACAGGACTGATCCGAAATGCACGGAATCGGGGATAGTGAAACAAGTACTCTGCTTTGGTTTTGATATTTGAAGTTAACAGTGGCGCTAAATTTATTTTCTAACCGACTCTGAAATTCTCGGGCGTCAAAACTTTCACTCGTAGGCTATTATTCAAATTAGACCACGTGGCACTGTTTCGGTACTTTTACGTTTTTTAGTACGGAAAAATCAAAACTCGGTCAAAATATTTTTTAGGAATTATAACCGTCTATCTATTACTATTTCAATCGCTCAAGATTTTTTTTCTTTTTTAAATGGCGATAATTATAATTATGTTTGAAACATAGGCTATACTTTATAAGTTTTATTTTTTCGCTCACTATGAACAGTTTATTCACTTTAAATCAAGTTTGGAATTCAGGTTTCTATTTTAAGTTATAATTAGAATCACTGTAAAATGTATCTGTAAGTACTGGAATTAAACATGTTTTTATTGTTATAAACAGATATTATAACAAGTTTTGAAATATATATGACGTTGACTTTGTCACAGTCGTGTACCAATCACACGACACTGGAGCAGATAGCATTTTTTTAGTTCTAATAAATATGTAAATATTAATATGTCATTGTATATTTTACAGTTGCTCTTATTTTGGCCGGGTCTTGGGCTTTCAACAGTGGAGTTCTTCTTCAAGCCTACATTACTCTTACATTTGACATAACGATGGCCTGGATTAAATACATCGACTACTGGACATACCAAGATGAAGCTTATGAATTTTGTCATGATAAGAGCGTGCTGGTTTGGTCAGATGTGACAGACAATATAAGGTTACCATTGATATGCTCAATTATTCTGCAACTGATATATCTTTGCACAAGACCAGGAGCATTAAGTCATAGATGGAAGGACGATGGTCCATCAATGCTATATATTGGATTACTGTCAACACTGGTTCCCAGAATTTTGAGCACTCTTAGTATATTTCCTGCCTTTATGTCAGAATTGTCGTACTGGATTGATATGTTTTTGCTGATTGCAATAACTATTTTTGAAGTTGTCACACTGATGGACATAGATGCAGCAGTTGACGTTAAGAAGCGTATGTCCCTGCTCGTCAAGTATGCACAAACAAATGAAATTGAAACAAAAAATAAATATAAATCAGCAATTGCAGATTTAAACCGTCGTATAGAGAACCGAAATCAAGGACAGAATATTATAGCAAGTTTTCCAGGAAAATGGTTTGTAAGAGATTCCATTTTGTTCTTTGGGATTGCTTATCTAGCAATAATGTTATTAATTGAGGTTACAGTCTATCAAAGACTGATATTGTCGTTTATGTCATTAAACACTTACCTAGAAGTTCTTGCAAGATGGTGCACTACGCATGTTATTGTACTTGTTATTTCTTACGTCTTAGGTTTATTGTCCAACGTTACTGTTGCCCTAGGTAACTGGTTCTTGACAACAGAAATCAACCTCACTGAGGCCTTCGATGCTAATATTGGTGGAGTTGTCCAAGTTGTTGCACTTATTACATTTACTGAAGCAAATGTGCTGGCTTTGGAAGATGAGGAAAAAGTTGATGCTATGGAGCTTATAGCTTTTTTGACGATGTATGCTATTATATTTCAAACACTTGATGTTCTTGAGCAGAAACTTTTTCAATCAGTTAATAACGGAACTTCCCCTAGAGTATTATTCTACATGCGTGCAATTATTCTTAGCGGGTTAATTGTCACTATTCCATCTTTATCTACTTTGGTTGTATCTTGAAATTTGAATTTAAGTCCATGGCTCCTATTTTTTGCATCCGGAAATTCCACTTTAGTTGTTCGTATAGTCACTTTAATGTTAGAATCTGTCTTAATGAAATGCACGTGGTATACATCAAATCATCTTATTTAAATCGAGGACTTTCTACATTATACTAGGGTTTGTAAAACATTTGTCCTACTTTTATTGAACTGTGCACAGTGCTATTGTAGATATATCTGTCCATTTTTCAAAGGATGGTGGTTTATGCGTCTCTGCCTTGCGCTGTTCAGTTTGGTAGCAGTGGCTGGAATCCTCGGATTAAATGAATTTAACAGATACAAAACTAGACAAAAAATGTTTACACTTCTTAGAAACCTACAAGATGTGGTATTTTATGCGGAATCAAGTGACGCAGAAGACACGCATGAGTGCGCCATATGTTACGTTGTAATGACAAACGCAAAGAAATTACCTTGTAATCATATCTTTCATTATGATTGCTTAAGGAAATGGTTTCTAGTTAGAACTGTGTGTCCATTGTGTAACACTGAAATCAGGGAAGAGAATATCCAAGTGCAAGAAAGTCAATAATTATAAATAATCACAATAATTTTGCATCTTATATATTTAACTTAATTATGATAACTCAATTTGGGCACCACTTTTACACTGTCAAATAAAGTGAAAAGGTCTGATTTTCTTTAAAGTGAAGGTTTAGTTTGTAAATGTCTTGTACATTATACTTTGTAAATAACTTGTTCATTAATAGTTTATAAATGTTAAGTTTGTAAATGTTTTGTTATCTCGGGTTGGTACTTATTTTATACTTATGCGGTTTAAAAGATGATATATGTTATCAAAATCAAATGGCTTTTAAAGTAATATAAGTTTTTTTTTAATTTAACATTTAAATAGCATAGATCAATAATATTTCAGTTAAAGAATATCTATTGAAATTGACTGCATAATCTTTGAAAGAATTATCTAACTTTAGAGTTTAAAACACATTTTAAATAACATACTTTGAAACAGTGTGTAAATGTTGAAATACTAGTTTGACATGGTTTCTTTTTTTAAATGCTTAGCTTTGATATCATTTATATTATACCATCATTAAATATATCAATATACAAATATTATATCAACATTAAGTTTGTCATTGGATTTGTTTGATGGTTCAAGTATTTTGATTAAAGCACAATATATGTTGTTTTAGATTTGCTGCGTTTTTTATCCCCGGCTTTTCAAAGGAAAAAGGAGGTTATAGAAATGAACTAAGTGTGTCCGTCTGTCTGACCGTTATCACTTGTATCCAGTCCATAACACACCCGTTTATCGAGGGATTTTCAAATTACTTGAAACACTTTTCACCATAATAAAACCCCTACCTACAATGTCCAAGACACACTTGGAGATTAAAGATCAACATTGTCTGAGTGATGGTATATTTTGCGTCCAGTCCATCCATCATGCGATTTGTAATAACTGGGCACAAATGTTCGCTATAGTAAGACGACATGTCATGCGAAACACCTAGACCGCACCTCTAAGGTCCATTAAATGCTTAACATGGTCTGTAAAAGATCCTTTCTTAAGTCCGGTTCACAGCTTGTTAATTCATCAAAAGTTTTAAAAATAAGTTAGCACAAATATCCACCATATAAGATAATTTGTCATGCGCAACACAAGACCCCTTCCACCAAGGTCAAGGTGACATTTCTAAAGCTGAATATGGTCTTATTTTCTCTGTTACAAGAATGAATTCAAAAGTATTAAAAAGATTTAAGTATAACTACAAAGATAAAGAGATAAAAGTAAAAGGGAATTGGAGAGTCTTTAGCATTGTTATAAATATCTATCAAATTATATCTCCTTGTTGCCTTTTTTCGGTAATCAAATTTCATGCACAGGAGTTATGTACAGGAGTTATAGATGAAACTAAACTAAACTATGTTATTATATTTAGAATTTAGAATTAAATGTTGCATCTGCCAGAATTATATGGTATAGAGAAGATACATGCATTCAACTTTTGAAATAAGAAATTCTTGTTTAATTTATTCTGATCTTTAAAAAAAGATGACTAATATAAAATGACACCCTTCGTGTATTCTTTTCGGACCATTACACTATTTCTTCTGAAGTTCAAAAACTTGAATTGAAAATAAAATAAAAAGTATATTGGAAATTTCAGAGAGTCAAAAAGAAGAAATATATCCCAATTTAACGCAAATATACACACGAAGCAACAATGTTAGTTGTAAACATAAAAATCATTCGAAATTGTAACTTGATCTTTTGATAAATTGATATATGGTTTGTGCTTAATTTTGTTTTATGGTAGATTTTATTTGCTTATTTCTATGAAAGGATACTATAAATACCATAAGAATAATATCGGGAAAACCTGAAATTACAAAAGTCTTAAAAATAAACCTGAACAGTGTAACGTCATGGTAAGCAATGTCATTAAATCCCGATCAATATAAATACTACATGTATATCGATTGTTGAGCTCAATTGTTTAAACAAATTTGGTTTATCGGTTTATCAAAGTGTATATTGTATAGCACGGAGACAAAGTAAAATAATCTGGTGTTAATGATTTGCCATAATTTCATGTTCTAGTTAACGTTTTTATAAATGATAAGAAACTATAACGATAACGTGATCATATTCATGTTCCTTTAGGCCATTATTTTTTGATATTTCGGTTTACAGACCCGCCGACTCTGTATTTTGGGAAAATAAAAAAAAAAAAAAATCTCATTCTGCCCCCAAAAAAATTCTGTGTTGTCTTGAAATACGCTGCTAATAATACGACTTGTCAAAGAAATGTCGCGGTAAGTATTTTAATTAACTGTTAAACCTACCACATGCCAGACTATTTTACCTACGATTTATACACGCAACCGGTTATCTTTACTAAAGAATAGCCTGTCGTCTGCTAGTTGGGCAAAGTGTTTATTGGTGTATTATGAAAGAATGTCTGTTAAATGGGGTCAAGCCATTCTCACAGAATTATAATTAGGCTTTGATCATATTTCATCAATGCATTGAAGGTCGAAATGCGTAAAAATGTAAAACAACCAAACAACCAAACAAAAAAAAAAACACGCCAAATTACGTAAGCAATTACATTCAAGGACAGAGCGAGAAAAATCTGCTGCAATTGACAAGATCAGTATTTTCAGATTTAACAAAAAAAAAAATAGTCTTTAAAAGCAGATTGAATACAGGTTTCAAACAAACAAAATAAAAAAAAATGCCCGCACTTACTTTTAATAGATTTTTATGTCAAAAATTGACCCGCTAATTATCCGATAAAAATATTTTCACAATGGGCAAAATTGAACATGACTTTGTGTAATCTTTTCTTGACAGTTTTTTTAACATCTGATCTATAAAGAAATGAGTGCAAGTCAGCTGATTTTCGGCACCTTTGATGATTCAGATTACACAGCAGTGTGTAAACATCAAAGAATGACAGATTCTTTTGAAGAGCTCGCTTGCCACTTGTCATAAGTTATTGTGTGTAGATTTCATGTGTGTTTTTTAAACAATGGCAATATGAGCAAAAGTTTTTTTTTGTGTATTTAAACAATCCTTGGAATAGACAATCGGCGATGTATTTAATTTCATTGCTCTAGTAAGTACTATGTATATGTATGCACCACATTTATAGTTATGAAAACTTTTTTTTTTTTTTCCCGCCGCCGACCCTACCTTTTTTTGGAAAAAATCAGTAAACCAAAATATAAAAAAATTCGTGCACTGCAGTTATTGTCGAGAGAGTTTGCCATAATTTCATGTTCTAGTTAACGTTTTTATAAATGATAAGAAACTATAACGATAACGTGATCATATTCATGCTCCTTATAGTGGCTACAGTCGCTGGATTGAAGGAAAAACACTATTTTTCTATCAATAATTACAATATATTCTTTAATTTCAAATTATCATATAATATAAATTCTTTTTTTTTGACGTTATACAATCTTTAAAACGTAAAGTATTGGAATCGATGATCCCAAAATGG